ATATCATTGCAGAAAACTGGAATTCTTATACAGGGTGGTCCGAATCCGAACTGTATTCCGGAAACTTCGGCAGCATATTCTGCAGATAAAAATAAGTAAAAAAGTTTATATAGGGAAACCAATTTTTTTACACCATTTCAATGACACCCTGTATAAATATTTATCCACGCCTTTACTAATCTCAATTTTTTCCTATAGGACTACTCTAACTTATTTACTATGCCTCCCAAAGATATACAAGGTCTTCTCACTAATTTATGCCAAGCCGCACCCCCTTATCAATCTAACTAAAACCCCATCACAGCCTAATTGACCAATATACACATACATTATCTAACCTTTCCGCGATTTTCTTTGCTGTTGTTGTTAGCGTGATGACCTTCCTCTATTTATAAAAGCCGTTTCTGACCGACACCGGCCGCTAGTCTAGTTTCTCGAAAACAAGGCCACTTTGGTCGACTGACACACGTGTTATTTTTCTTTTTCGCATTTTCCAGCGTGTAAAGAAATGGGCGGAAAAAACAGACGCCGTGGCGTGTAATAGATATTTCTAGGTCGTTCAGAGTCCTTAGTTTTTTAAGGCCGATAGTACGTTAAAGGTGGAGATTTAAAATTAGATATTAATAAAAAAAATGGGCGCCGGGAGGCACATATGTTAATAAAAAGTTGGTAGGCAGTTCTTTTAGTTTCAAAGTAAAGGAATTTTTCCAATTTTTTTTATCTCAAAAACTGCGACTTTGACTGATTTTGATGTTATTATAAATTTTGTTGCAAATATTATTCCTAATCTTAAATTGAAAACCGCGTTTCGCTAGCTACTGTAATCTTGGAGTTACGATTTTTTTAAATTTTTAACCCCCTCCCATACCCCCTTACCAACCCCCCACCCCCACCAAAAACTAATGGCCAGATTCTCGGGTGCCACAGTATTTTTGTGCCAAATTTAGTTAAAATCGGTTTAGCGGTTTTTGAGTTATCGTGTTACAGACGGACAGACAGACAGACAGACAGACACCATGAAAATATTTTGTATTTAGGTCATTTATGACCCAAATAACTCATTTTGAAATTAAAAAAAACTTTTTTTTGCCGAAAAAATAAAACAAAAAGTCCCTAAGAACATATGCCATAAAATGCTTCCCGAAGAAATGACAACCCTCGAAAGGTTAAATAAAAATAATATATTTTGTTTATTTTTAGGACTTCTTTATATAAAAAAGATGCTCTTCGTTTAGTTCGAAACAGTGAACGGTTTTCAAGATATTTGCGTTTAAAGGTTCCGATGCATCGATTTTAGCATTAGCGATATCAGTAGATTAATTTATTTAAAATTTCATTACATTTTATCATTTCACCATCAAATACAACTGTATTAGCTTCCAATTAAGTTTGTATACCATCTTGTATATGGTACTAAAAACTGGAGTAGCGTTAAAATAACGACACCACACGATTGATGAATAATAATAGCTTTTAGTAGTGTAGAGAGATAAGTTCAGAAGAATTACTAGTTTAAAAAAATTAAGATTAAAAATAATACAGAGAGAGAGAGAGAGAGAATAGATTTTTGGTAAGATCTTACCAGCAAATCCTTAAAACGGCCGTTTAACAATACATATTATATTAAATTAATTAGAAATATTCTAAATTTGAATTTTTTATAGATTAATTTTTTAAAAACTGAAAACTTTCAAACACGATAAAAATGACAGGTCGATTATTTGTTCTTTTATTTAGTAAAAAAATATTATTTTTCATCTTGTTTCTTCTTTCATGTCATGTTTAAGGTACTATAAAATCCAGGATTCGGTCAAAGCCACAACGAAAAGAAAATAATGAAATCTATTTCCCTCAATTTCCCAAGGGTTTTCCTACAACAGTCGAACTGATGAAAAACAAGAAGGTCTGGTAAAGATATGTGTTTGAGAAATTCTAGATACAGGATTTCCCAAAATGAATTGCATGAAAATATCTAAACAAGGATGATTTCACTCAAGAGAGTGATCACAAGAGACACAGTGTAAATCCCGCTTTAGAGTTCCTCTATGTTTACTTAATTCTATGAAGATATAACGATGTATAAGTCCATTAAAAAGCTTTTATTTCTTATATTTAAAAAGATCCGAGGCCAAATCTGATTATATCAAAACGTAATTTGCCTTTTTTCCCCTAATGGAAATACAAAACCCGTTGAAAGACAAACAAAAGCAAACTAAAAATAGAGAGCAACAATGGAAAGTGCTTTTCGTCTTGGATGCCTATATGATAGAAGTATGATTTCTATGCTTGACTTTTTGTTTACACTGTAAATATGCAAGTTAACATGAGAGAGATAAGATTAACATTCCTTGAGAGCCACCATTATCCTTATATACATAGAGTTGTTTGTAGTTTTTAAACAAATAAATCTCGGTAGGTATATAAATAGTGTCTTCAGTGTCTGTTGTAAAAATACGTTTTTGTCTGTAATTAATATATTGACTTTCAGACCTAATACCATCTCAGACAAGTTTTCGTTCTTTAGATGCAGTTACCCAAAGTGGATAATAGTTGCAATCCAGAGTGCCCTGACTGTGTTAAAACCATTAATTTTTAATCAAGGAGCTTTGGAAAAAAAGTTTTTTCTCGTTATACTCTGTTTTTTTTTCTCAGGCAAGATTTCGACAGACGATGGCAGAAAAAAAACAGATGACATCCATACCAATCCATATATTTTACTAAAAAAAGTTTCTAATACTTTTTAAGTTAACTATGGATGGGTTTAAATATAAATCTGTCATGCGACGTCTCTTGTTGTTTTTAACCAGTTTTATTGGTTTATTTCAAAAATGACAGATCATATTTCAATATTATTGGTTTGATGCAACGATGAATAAATTAGGCAAAGAAAACAAAGTCCTCCTACACTGGGTGCCTGCTCACCAAGGGATAGAAGGCAATGAAAAAGCAAATAATCTAGCTAGGAAAGGAGCGAACACTCCACTAACTGGACCAGAACCGTTCTGCTTTCCAAGTGGTAACCAACTCAAGGCGGAACTCAAGAACTTGGAAGATTCCATCCGCAACCTGAATGGAAATCTTGCAATGGTCTAAGACACTCTCGAAGGTTTCTGAGGGCTTATGATCAAGAAAATCACAGATCTTCCTGTCTGGAGAAAGAACAATTCGGATACGGGTTTTTAACAGGACACTGTTCTGAACACCTCAGTAGATTGAAACTAAAGAAACGGCGAATGCAGATTCTGTGGGGAAGATGGTGAAACACCAGTACACCTCATCACTGAGTGCGCTGAGATGACAACCATTCATGCCATGAATTTTTGGTACGACTGATATTGAGATGGAGAACTACCCTCTATAAAACCGTCCCAGATACTGGCTTTTGTCAAAGCCCTGGGACTGTATGATGAGTTATGATTCAAGAAAGGGGGACACAATGGATCTGTAAGGTCGAAGTGATTAACCCCCTCCCACTCATTCTAAATTCTAAAAAAAAATCTAAAATGCAACGATGAAAGGCATGACGCCAATGTGTCAAACTCGACTTAAGATTTTTGAGAGTTGTCAAACTCTTGCCAAATTATAGGTTATAATTTTGTGTCAAATTATGTCAAATAAAAATGATAAATATATTGCATTTTGGACTGTGTTATTACGGGTGTTTCATGTTTTTTTTTAAATTAAGTGGAGGAAAACTCGAGGGAAAATTAAGTGTTGACCCAGACCATAGTTTACAGTTAATATTCGGAGCCCAGAGACCACCAGTGATACAGTTTGCTAGAGACTATAGCCAGAGAGTTATATTAGCCACAAATAAAGTTTGTAACCATCTTATATAATGGTATATGGTACCAAAAACTGGAGTATCTGTAAAATAACATCACACCATAGGTAAATAATAAATTTTAGTACTGCAGAAAGATAATGTCAAAGGGTACTGGTTTAAAAAAAATCAGATTAATCAGATTACTATGCGTTCCAATTATTGTACCAACTGATTTCTTTGTAAATTAAAATAAAAAAATACTTTGAAATTAAAATGACAGACATATATCTATCACTATCAAAGATTTTGTCGTTGGACAGACTATAGCTTAAGAAAGAAAATGGGAAAACACCAGATCACCTCATTACTGAGTGAGTCGAGACAACAACCATTCTTGCCATAAACTTTGGACTGATATCGGAGATGGAGAACCGTCTCAGATACTGGCTTTTGTCAAACCCCTGAGACTGTAAAATGAGTTATAACTCAAGAAAGAGAATGTGATTAGAAGAAGGTGATTAACTCCCTGCCTCTCATACAATCTATAATCTACAATGTCTATGGCTTTATTAGGAACATTTCGATTCCTTACTATACAACCTTTCCATTTATCCTGTATCATTAAAAAACTATTTTAAGAACTATAATACATCAAACAAGCATTATTCAAGATCCAATTATGTTTCTTACTCACACAAACCGAGAAAATTAAACCGGCTTCCCGAATATCTACTAATTTAATTTATCTAAAACAGCCATTACATCAGAGTTAATCTCGTTTGAGCGGGCTCTAAACTCTATTACGGCTTCTCTTTAATCTAAAACATCATAAAGATCGCTTATAATGTCTCGGAGCGCTTCTAAACTGACCTTTAAGACTATAAAACTTGCCAATGACGTTGTGGATAATTTAACTCTTTCAGTTTGACATAAAAGAAGCTCATTAACAACAACTATAAATAAAAAAAATAATAACCTAATAAAAGCTCTTTATAAAGGAGGATCCTTGTGGCCAAATTGATTTACGCGGTAGATAGAAACTTAGAAAACTACTTCTATTGGTTAGTATGAAATAAATCAACTAATCGCGAAGCATTTCGCACGCTTGCGTAGTTCAAAGCTGGTGAACGAAAAAGACCGACTTATGTGGATATGCTCCATTTCAAAAATTTGGCTTCAATATACTGTTATAATATATTAGCTTGTGGCTGTACTATTCTATAGCTAAACTTACCTAATATTTCCTTATTTTCTAGTTTGAGTTTCAGTTCTTCTATGGTGTTGTTCCTTATGAAAGGTTGTTCGACATTAGTCAAATCCTAGAACAAGACAAAAAATATATTTCAAAAAATAATGCTAAAAATAATAAATAAAAAGTAAAAATTTATTTTCCAAAGTTTCCAAACTTCCAAATAAGCAGAAAAAACAAAAGAAAAAATATATTCATTTATTCATACTACCACTTTACTACATCACAACTAAATTAACTTCGAAACATTCTATCTATTTTTTTTTATTTACAATAGCTTATAGGTGTAATTATAAAATTTAAATTAATGCTATAAAGATATAAAAATAGTAAGTGAAATAACTCTTTAGATAATTCTGTAACTAATACTATCAAAGAAAACGTCACTTGTGTAATACTTAGTTATACCGTATGATCGAAAAAAAACGGCGTCAAAGATGGCTGGGGAATGACAATCGATGATAATTTTAGCCAGATCAATCTCTTGTATTAAAATGACTTCTAGGGCTTGACCTAGCTAAAATTAACATCGATTTTCATTCCCCAGCCGTCTTTGACGCCGTTTTTTTTTATCGTATGATACTAAGATCTTTAAAAAAATATTTTTTCGATTAAAAACAAGTTTCTTCTTTATTTTGTTAATAATAAACAAATAAGATTATCTCTTTAATTATAACATAATGCAATATTATAAACATAATAATGTTTGGGTACAGTTTTTAATTAGTAACGTGTAAAGGTAATAGAAAAATATTGATTTTTGTATTAGTACAGATGTCCAATTGCCCCGATAAATCTTTATCAAAATAATAATTACATAAAAAAACAAGAAACAAATACTATTCATTATTTTTGTATTGATAAAAAAATTCATTCGTTTAAATGAAAATCACAGTAAAATTGTATCAAGAAAAAAGAACTGAATATTGTTTAGTAAAATGCTAAGAAAATTATCTACAGAATTTTAAATTCTTTTTCAACATTGATTAATATTTGGCCTTATTGTCTATAATTTTGTTTTACAGGACGTAAAGAAATATTAATAATGGGAATATACAGAGTGAGTCTTAAATAATTGCAAATATTTTCAGAGCTGGTAGATTTCGATAAAAGAAAAATATTTTCTCTACCGTTTTTCAAATAAATCCAAAATAACCGAGATATTTCACTTTGACAATTTCTAAAAAAAAATGATTTTTTTCTAACATTTTGAGAACTACTGGATTTTCTTTCTTGTAAATTTAACTTACTAGGTACCTATGTTGCCATATTATCAACAAGTTATGTTTCTTTCACTAAAAACTAAAAAAATTCCAGAATCCAAATTTTCAATTTGGTTAAAATATACTACCCCTAAAATATTTGCACTTATTTAAGACCCACCCTGTAATCGCTAGTGAAATAGCTAGAAATACACCTTGCATAATATTGTAGTGATATTTTAATGTAAACCGTTTTTCAAAAAAATCAATAATATTGTGAATTATTGCATTCAATCTATACAGGGTGTTTCAAAACACAAAAACTTAAAGGGGCGATTCTTTGGTGAAGATAAATGGTAGTTTGTTATACCATAAGACCGAAAAAAAAACGGCGTCAGAGATGGCTTGGAAATGAAGATCGTTGCAATTTTAAATACAAAATTACTATTACTTTTTTGGCTTCAAATTTCTCAGTCACATGCTCAGCAATATTATTCTCAATATTCTCTTCACCATTCTGAACTACAAAAGAGTCATCCTCACACCCCGATTCGAGCACTTCACTATTTTCCATTTTTGTTTTTATGAAAAAAACAGTCCAAAACAAATAGTCCCTCCTCAAGTACAAGAAAACTATTATTATTAAAGTCAATATATTCACGCAAAAACAGTTAGTAGACTTTGTCACCTTAACACAGTAAGTACCGTCAGTTACAAGTAGTATCAAACTAAAACACTAGCTCACTGACTTAGCGGACTGGTCCAACGAAAAATCATGCGTACAGAAATATACTGATAAGAATCAAATATAATATTGTAGCCGGTTTGGGGATTAGGGTGCGATTAGGATGATGGCAATAAATCAAAATTATCATGTTTTCATAGTAAATGAATGAAAAATTTGATGACATAACGTATGTAACGTATCCCTGTGTTTGTAAAGCTGTCGCCAGTCTCCGTAACTTGTCCTTCAAAAAATATTTTTCTTAAAAATATTTTGTGCCAATAATACCCTATGATCGAAAAAAAAACGCCGTCAAATATTGCTGGGGAATGACATTCGATGATAATTTTGGCGCGGTCGATCTCTAGACGTCACTTACTAAAAATTGACATAAAATTAAAAGATTCAAAATATTAATTTTTTTGAGTCATCATAAGTATGTCACAAAATACAAGCCTCTGCTCTGCTACAAAGTTTCATCCAGAGAATTTTAGTAAAATTAAAAAAATACAATATTTAGAACATTATAAATTTAAAACAATACTATAAATAAGGTATTGTGTTATTTTTTAAATAAGAATACACACAAATCTCGAGTGATTTCCTATAAAAAAAAATCTTCTGAACTTGATAAACATAAAATCAGATTAAAGGCTTTAACTTCGGGTTTAGTCTTTCCCATTTTCATACTATGATCGATGTGTTTTAAGTCAAACACACTGATTTTGTTAAATAAAACAAATAACAATAATAATCACAAGATGTTATTAATAAAGATTTCCGAAAAGCAATTGAATACTTCCTTTTTCAATAATCATCATCATCATTTTCAGCTTATTCAACCATTTCCAATTATGGTGTAGCCTACCTTACATATTTAGATACTCTCTTTGTAGTTGGGCCCATTGTTGCCTATTTTTGGCTATGCGAGCCCAAGTTATCCCTGCTAATCTTCTAATATCATGGTCCCATCTCAGGTTCGGTCTTCTTCTAGGTCTCTTAATTCATCGTGGGCAGGGCCGTATCTGGGGGGGGTGTTTTGGGGGTTCAAACCCCCCCCCCCCCCGAAATTATGGCCGAAATTTTTTAAAAAGTAATGATCATTGAGTAAGTAAGAACGAAACAAAAAAGAAGAAGAAGATGGATGAATATCTATGACTAAAGAATACAATGACATGTAACGCCCATATACGGGCTGCAGAGAATTTGTGACCTTAGACGCCAACTTTTTAGACATAACGAATGAATCATCAGCTAGTCATCAGCGACAATTTTAGCGATTTTTAATAGTTGGTTGTGTGTAATGAACTTTGTATAAACTTTATTACAATGGTAATTTGTTCAGCTGTCAAGTGTAAAAGGCTCAATGATAAGAAAGAGCCAGAAGTTACGTTTTAGAGGGAAATAAACAGTCCCCTACACCATTTTAGCGTTTTTTTTATTGAATTCCATACAGTACATATAATATTTCTGATATTATATGTACTTGATATGTACTATACGTCGATACTAGGTATGTGCCTTTTGTTAACATTTTAATACGTTTTTTTCGTAATTAATTAGTATGATACCACCCGATACGCCATAGGCGTAGTGAAAACATATAATATAAAAAATATAAATATCCCTTCAAGCGGCAATGTTAAGTAAAATATGTGCCACGACACTGTTTGGAAGAATGGTCACAGTTTGGTTTCGGGTGCTATTTGTCCTTGTATTCTTTAGTCATTGATGATTATACATTTTACATCCTAATCTCACTTTTCCATTTTGAATGCAAATGTCATTTTCAATTTTCGACTTTCAACATTCAAGTGTTTAAAACAGCAAAAGTTTGACAAGGACAGGATTTTGAATGTTGTGTGTTTTGCTGGTCATTAACGTGATTAACGTTTGTTATTGTTCTGCTATTAGACAAAGAATTCTTGGAGTATGACACTTTAGCGGCAGAACTAGACTTGTGGCGGCAAAAATGGAAGCAGCTACCTGCAGTCGACCGACCTAAAAACGCCATCGAAACGATAATCGGAGTGTAACCAGTGTATATTTCCAAATATATACATTTTATTAATGATCCTAGCAACTCTACCAGCGTCAACAGCTACACCAGAAAGGTCTTTTTCAACCCTAATGCCGCAACCGCACATGCGGTATTCGGCGATCTCCGATCGGGGCTTCGCCGATTTCCTATGTGTGTGGATGAAGAAGTCGGAGTTCGGCGACTCGATCGGCGACGAGAACGAGCGCTCATCTCTATGTTGTTGCTATCAGAGCCCGTATGTGTGGATGGACAGGCGAAGTCCGATCACGAGCGTTCGGTAGTTGACGAGCGTTCGGAGTTCGCTAAATGCCGCATGTGCGGTTGCGGCATAAGACGATTGAAGGACTTCCTACGTAACTCTACAGGTCAGGAGCGACTGACAGGACTTCCTCTATTAAGCGTACATAGAGAAATACATATCGATATCAAAGAGGTAGTCAATCGTTTTTCCAGGGAAAAGACCAGTTTATCCTTAAAGATTAATAATTTTTACCTGTTACTTTTTTAAAATTTTATTTTCAATTAAGATTTGAGTGTAGTCCAAATCGATTTTTTTATTATTCTTTTTCCTAGCAGCTTTGTACCCCCCCCTCTCCAAGCCAACCCCCCCGAAATGTTGGTCTAGATACGGCCCTGATCGTGGGTACCATGTTAATAAGTAATTGTTCCATCTGTTGTCCGTTTTTTTTGCCAGGTGTCCTGCCCATTGCCATTTGAGGGATTTGATTCTGTGGATGGCATCTATGACCTAGGTCTTTTGTCGTATCCACTCTATTCTTTTACGGTCTCTCTTGGTTATTCCCAGCATATTTCGTTCCATTGAGCGTTGTACAACCTGCAGTTTCCTTATGATGTACATTTTAAGTGTTTTAAGTGACCAGGTTTCGCATGCATAGGTCATGACTGGTAGTATACATTGGTAGAATGTTTTCTTCTTTAGATAGAGTGGAATTCTAGATGTAATTAATTTTCCAATAACATCAGTAAAAGTCTATTTATATTATTTTCATATTTTGATTGATATAACCCACTTATAATAAAACAAAAAACATAGGATAAATTAAAGGGGAGCTTTAAAACAAAACCTTAAATCAACATAGAAC